CTCCAGGGGCTCGCCAACGGAGACCATTGGCCAATGACCACTGAAGGTTTGGATCCATTGCAGAGAGAAAAAATACGGGTTATGAGTATTAAATGTTTCAAAATTAGTAATTCCTCGAGGGGCTGTCCATGAAGTAGATAAGCACATAGGCATGGATGGGGAGACACGTCCCCCCATGAATTTGGTATGGGGGACACAATGTCAAATGTTCCCTCCGTGTTTTAAGCAAAACAAAATACTAAAGGAACTGATGCATCGAGGATTTTCTTTTTTGCGTTTTTATAAATGGAATAAGATAATAAACACGGTGTGCGCAAAAAAAGTGTGAATTGATGCCCCCCACCATCGAGGAGAGATTTCCGCCCATGCACAAAGGCAGGCAATTGTCAACACATCACTGTGTACAGTACATCGACAAGAATATAAGATTGAATCAGTGCTCTGAAATATATGATTGCCGAGCTTTCAGTAACTGAGTACCTTCTTCAGGGCAAGCAGATTCAGTTCTGAATGAACGCGGGAAAAATCCACATTCATTCCCCCTGGATGCAGCGTTCCAAGTTCGAAAATGACGCACTGCTCCAGTTCCTTACGCTGGTACATCAGATGACGCTTTCCGCAGAATGCAGACGCTTATGTAACCGAGGGAATGTGGTGGCGGCGCGCAAAAGTGCTGCGCAACAGTGAGACCAGGTGTTTGTTGGCGCACACGGCCCAAGTGTTCCGTGGAGCGGTCACCAAGGCGACATTTGGTCTCTCCGATGTACAGTTTACCACGGCGACGACATGTAATGCAATAAACCACATTACCAGTAATGCATGTATGATCCCCGCGTATTCTGTAGCTACCGCGGCGGCCGACGACCGACGGGCTGTTAACAATGTAGGGGCAGGTGTTACATCTGGGGCGCTGACAAGGGGAATTGCTGCCTGCTTTTGACGGCGAGACGGAATCCAACAGGGAACATACAACCATGTCCCCGACAGAACAATCGCACCTAAACGCGCAAATCGGGGGTTCGACGAAAATGGAAGCTGTGGCCGCCTCATTACAGAGCGTATGAAAATGTTTGAGAAGAATATTACGTACTGGGAGGGTGGTATGTGAGTACGAGGGGGACGCGATCACGTTGCTTGGCCCCGCTGGGTTTCAGAGCCGTTTCACGCGGAATTGAAGATACAGCGTTGAAGGCAGCGTCTGTGATAACCAGAGGGTAACCGCACGGATGAAAGAAACCTAGCATTGCCTTCCCACGCGCAGAGAGCTCCGCATTGCTACTGCAGTCGAAGAAACTGAGAGTAAGGGATGGAGTTCTTTAACACTTGAGGGGGTGAGACGATTGGTATTGCAGGTAGCTGTGGGAATCTGTGGGTTTGTAATGCACGGTTGTGCCAAGTTTCCGCGCACAGATCTGGACGCACACGTCGAGGAAGGTAACAGAGTGTTGCGACACATCAGATGTGTAGCGCAGTGCTGGGTGAAAAGTATCTGCAAATGTTACAAAATTCTCAACGTCATCACACGTATACCGTGTCTGTATCCTGCGGAAAGTGTCATCTGATGTACAGCGTAAGGAACTGGAGCAGTGCATCATTTTCGAACTTGGAACGCTGCATCCAGGGGGAATGAACGTGAATTTTTCCGCACTCATTCAGAACTGATTCTGCTTGCCCTGAAGAAGGTACTCAGTTACCAAAAGCTCGGCAATCATATACTTCAGAGCACTGATTTAATCTTATATTCTTGTCGATATTCTGATCACGGTGCTACGCAGCCCTTCCATATTTCACTGTGTACAGTACATCTTGCATCCTTAGATGTAACCTACATGTAGGAAACCTCATGTTTATTTGTTACGGGGTTTTCTAAGGCCATCTGCTGAAAGTCCTAGAATTTCAGATGTCAGGATTTCTGTCATTAAATCTTATGTACATATCCCTTTAGAATTTTGCCAGGAACATGCTTGAACCCCGTAAAATCCCACAATTTGCAAAAATTTGCCAACTGGTGATAATCTGAAATGCGCTTTCATTGCATTACCTAGTGCGGGCTCATGAACAAAAGATGTCCACACTCTATGAAAAGGAAGGCGCTGTGTGGACTTACTTTACCAACGTCCACAGGACGTTTCCCCTCCCTGAAAATGAAGCTTTAGAGGCATTTGGGGGTTGAGGTTATTTGTTGCAAAAGGAACAGGAACAGTTAAGGTAACATTCTACAAAAAAGCAGCTAAAAATCATGTTCACATTTCAAGAGAGATGAGTATTTTCATGGAGTTCTCTAAACTACACAGAAACAAAGGAATATCCACACTAGGTACGGAAGGTAATTAAGCTTGTGTGTGTTGATCTGAGCATTATTGAGCATGTCATCAAAAGCCAATACTTTTGTCTGGTTGTCCTGCTTGCATATCTTGGAAAATTATAAACTGTTGATACAATCAAACTGGCATCGAAACTTACTGCAAGACATCTGCATAAAACTTGTGAAGGTTAATTAGAAAATTTACTGAGTCAATGTTAGTTACACTATATCTGACAGCAAAAGTCATTTTTCGACTTGTTGCAAGTCATTTTTCCCTCACCTGGATAGTTTTTCAACTTGGGTTTACAATTTGAGAAAAATCCCATTCAACTGTTTTTGTTATGATTCATGAATAGGGCAAATGGCGTAGTCATCACAGCAAGTGAGTGAAGACTAGGCCTGTGCACTGTCTTGGCCAGGAAAGTGAATCTATCTTCAGTGTTTAGCATCTGCACATTTTCGAAAGCATACCTGACGGGTCGCTACAAAAATATCTGATCTCAAAATCAGCTGGGCAGGGGGTCGAAGAGGCGACACAGAACAGACCTCCAGTAAGCGAACATTTCTTGTCAGCAAACGGGAAAAATTTACTGTCAAATTCATCTATAGTTTGCCTGGTGTACAGCA